CTAGAATTCGACCCAACCCAAATCTGATCAATCTGAATCCAACTCGTGCTAAAAAAAACCAACCTGAACACAGCCCGCTAGCTTTTTGAATGTCTTGAACCTAACATGTTAACATGTTTTGATTAAGAAAAAATTATAACTTCTTAACTATAATGTCTAATATATTTGATAAAAACAAGAAGATAGTGCCCATGAGTTAAAGAAATAAAAGAAAAAAATTTATTAAATATTTCATTTTGGAATCAAAGTGAGTTTGAGGGTAGGGGTGTAAAATCTAACCTGACCCGAAACCCAACCCGGAAAATTCCTGGTTTGGGTTAACCCGTTTGCCATGCGGCTCAGGTTCAGGTTGGCCCGAAAACTCAAAATAAATCCGAGTTGACTCAAAACATGGTTGTTGCGTACGTCTTGCCCATGACCTCGATTGGTCGAATCTGCGCTTGCGTGTCACGTGAATTCGTCTCGTCGACTTCGAGTCCATAAACATTGTTCATGCCTGCCACCATGCCACGTCTCACGAGATAATAGCGGCCAATCGGCCTCGGCTAGAGCCACATGCCCGCAACTCTGCACGACCTGTCGACTCCGAACCCGCAGGCCTCACTGTCGCAGCTCGCGTTGGCCTTGCCTAGCGCCTGTAGCGTGAACACCGCTTGACGCAGCCTTGCGCTAGCTGCACTTCGTACGAGCGGTTCACGGATTGGGTCGGGTCAACCCTATAACCCTCACGGGTCGGGTCTAGGTTGAAGATCCTACCCCATTTGCAAAACTCAGTCGGGTTAGGGTCAATCGTTTGGACCCTAATCAACTCGGGTTGGTCCCTAACCGTCAACCCGTTATGACACTCCTATTTGCGGGTCAACTCGAACTCAACCCGTTTAATAAACAGATAAAAAGATTCAATTCAAATCAGACTCGTTTATTAAAGGAGTCAACCCAAATATAAATAGAGTGCTAAATAAAAGCTAACACTATATTCCAATTATATATTATAAAAATAATATTGAAAATATCTCAACTTAATTAAAACAACGTTTTTCATTAAAGTATAAGAAAAAATTGTCTGAATGTGGCATTTTGGTTGAGCCTTGGACAAGTTCTTAGCTCAAAAAGGACAAAATCCAGCCAACTGTCTTGATAGCTCCATCACCGTCCAAAAATAAACATATAAAAAAATTCAACCCAAATCAGACTCATTTATTAAACGAGTCAATCCAAATCTAAATAGAGTGCTAAATAAAGGCTAACACTCTATTCCAATTATATATTATAAAAATAATATTGAAAATATCTCAACTTAATTAAAACAACGTTTTTCATTAAGTATAAGAAAAAATTGTCTGAATGTGGCATTTTGGTTGAGCCTTGGACAAGTTCTTAGCTCAAAAAGGACAAAATCCAGCCAACTGTCTTGATAGCTCCATCACCGTCCAAATCAAATCCAACGGCTATCAGCCGCCCGGCCTCCATAATTTTTTGGTCTCCTGTCGTCATGGAAGGCACTCAGTCAGTAAGTAGCAGGTCTCAATTCTAGCTGGAATCTCCTCCCTTCACACGCAAGAGACGATGCTTTGGAACCAATAGAGTAGGCTTTCTTATATTCGTTAAGAAATTTTATTAAAAATATATATATATTGAATTTATTTTTTATTTAATTAAAATTAAAAATGTTGTGCATTTTCATTAGAAGAGTATTTTGTTGAGTTATCAAATTAAAAAATAATATTAATTAAATTTAAATTAATTTTCTTTATTAAAAATTATCATAGCTTCCTTTAAGAAGTTGTCTATTTTATGAAACAGTTCATACAAAATCATAGAGAAAGTCTTGAGTTGATATGGTGAATGCATATATTGTCAAATATTATGATAAATATGCTTATAAAAATTTTTTATTGTATTTATTTTAATAGATCTTAAGGGTAAGAATGACTTACTAAGATTATAGTAAAATTTTCCCAAAAGTTTTCAACGAGATAGTTGTGATGCGGATCAGGTTACACCAAATGTCTTGAAGGAGATGATCGTGGCACAAAAAAGTTATGGTGCAAATCTTAAAAGAGAAGACGTTGACATACCCCTATCCATTATGATTGCTACACTGTAGCATACGTACCACATTGAGTTGGGGCACAACAATATAGGAAGAACTTCAATTTATTTATCAAAGATATAACCGAGTTTTTAAAGCAGTTTTTATTCATGTATGGCTTTCTTATTGTTTATTAAAGCAGCTTTTTAGTATACAAATTTTAATTTTTATACTAAAAAGCTGCTTTAAGAAGTAGTAAGAAAGCCGTCCCAAACAAAACCTAAGACATTGAATCAAAATCCACTTACAAGCATGAAAGTTAAATAATGTATATAATCCTAAACAAAGATGACATGTTTTAAAACCATATGAACCATTTAAGTGGATGTCAATTCGATTAATATTATTGATGTGTTTTGTCAACTTATGGACAAGATCATGCACACTATGCATTATAATATTGAATTGAAAGAAAGTTGATTAAGGCTTCATTTGAGATAACTTTCTTATAGTTTTCTAAAGTATTTTTTTAGTACAAAAATTTTTATTTCAAAAATTTTTTGTATTAAAAAGCAACTTTAGAACAGTAAGAAAGATGTCACAAACAAAGTATAAGTCTAATTCATGTTATAATCGTATATCATATAACTAAAGTATAAACATAAAGCATGATTATAAAATCCAATTTCAATGATATCTATGTATAAACTATACCAGTCAATGATGGAAACAAATGTATGCAAACACAAATATTTTATCAAAGCGACATTTGTGAGGTACTTGAATATAGATGCAAATACATAAAACATTATCTATATGAATGATATGACATTAATAAAATAAATTATGTGTGTATCATGAAATATAACTCATAATAAAATATCATTTTATCTGTAATATCATGTGATATAATCCATTGATATATTACATATGAGTACTTAATAGTACATATCTCATAAAGTAGTACGAAAATGACTACCCAACCATTTGATATTCATACATTCAAGGTGTTTTACTAGTTCTACTATAACGACAAGACATAATTATCTCAGAATATGATGACGCTTCAACAAATTTTACAAAGTATCACAAATGATAAAAATATATCGATGACATTACCTTGAGCTTGTTGGCTAATAAAAGAAGCTATCCAACCTTATATCTTTCATAGTGAAATGAGAGCATGGCATCTTTCATAGTGAAATGAGAGAATGGCCAATACCAAGATATTTAAAGGAAAGCACGCTAGCTCAATCACTTGCACTAGGAATATTTAATCCAAATACACTCAAGAACTAGTCAATCTTCTCTTACATAAATACATTATATAAAACTCATATAAATACAGTTAATATTTTCATAGCTTATACAACTCATATGAAACATCTTTATGATATGACAAATAATGTAAACTAACAAATATAATAGTAACAATAGAGCCGATTAAATCAATAATAGACATAAAGTAATATACATGAATATTCACCATAATTTTTGCATACAATGTTATAGACTAGATGAATAGATAAATGTATGATACCACAAGTCACTCACATGTAAAACATTCATGCATTTCTGAAGTCATGAAACTATATATACCATTAGACATAAAATCATTCTTTCACATATATGAATATTATATCATACAAACATACAATCACTAATGTATGTTTATGAATATCACAAATAAAAATATCAAATAATATGTCAGTTAGCCACATAGATCATATATATGTATATATGTCAACACTGAAAGACAATGCTACAATATGAGACTAAATCATGTATTAGTCCATAACTTATATGTCATATCATATATGAAGTACACCATCAACTTATGATCACAAAGACTCTCATTTAACTTCATAATAACTTTAAGAATCACATGAAAAAAGTACAAACAATTGAAGACATGAAGTATAGTTTAACAAAATATGTCAAAATAAGTGCATGTATCAAATGGTGTACATGTATATTGACACTATATGTCATACTACAAAGCTCTTGTAAATAAAGTAATCATACAAACTATAAGAAGATAAAAATCATGTATTATACCCACAAAATATATAAGTTTAGATGCATATAAATTTTATAATCTTTGAAAACAATATGATAATACGCAATCCTAGTTAGGTAATATGCATAAGAAAAAAAAAAAAAGAATAACATACATATAAATCCATTTGATTACTACATGATTTATATAGTATATCATGGTGATCGTGTAGGAGCAATTGACAAAGTTAATCACTACAACCTCAATGTCCTACAAATAGGTTCATAAAGTTAAAGAATATAATATCTTTTATACGTAGAAAAATCTTCGCTAGTATTGCAATCAATCTTGTAAGATCGCATATATAAGTATAAAAAATCATGTATCATATTATGATTGATATCTAAAAGAAAAAGTTGTCCCACACAGGCCCTAAAAATGTTCTCAAACAAATGAAACTTTTATTATCACAACAAAATTGAAAAAAAAAAAACAAATAAGACAACAAAAGAACGTAAAATCCATCTGAATCTCTCCTTCGATCGACTCTAACTCGAAATATCGTAATTCGAAATGGATTCATGCCCGCATATAACCCCACCAATTATAAACCTAAAAACCTTATTCATTCATTTCTACTTTTCATCTTAATACTATAGATTTTCCATAAAGTTTCATATCAATTGCTTACACCTAAGAGTCATAAACCTCTCTCCATGAAAATAAGGTTCAATGAAGCAACACGCTTTCAACCTAGCGTGTAAAACCAGTACATCGTGTTGAACTGAACACGATACAGATATATATTATTTAAATATATAAAGGTTTCTGGAAGGGTAATTATGTAATTTTAAAGAACTGGCAAATGCAGTTGCCGACGGTGGCGTGCCCACCACTTCGACAGCCAGACTTTTTTTTTTTTGTTTTTTGGGTTTCCTCTCCTTAAAAGCGGCGGGAGCTCGAGAGCAGGGCTTCTCCTTCAAGCGAGGAAAGGAAGAGAACGAGGCTTTAGGGTTTCGATTCTTTGATCGAGATGAGGGAGATCATCAGTATTCACATTGGGCAGGCTGGGATCCAAGTGGGAAACTCTTGCTGGGAATTATACTGCCTTGAGCATGGGATCCAGCCCGATGGAATGATGCCCAGGTTCGGATTCTCTTCCGTCGACTAATTGATTCAATTCATTTCATTTTGGTGAAAATTTGGTTCTTTTTGATCGGGTTTTTGTTGAGATGATGTGTTGTTTACGTTTTTCTTGTGGTGGATTTCTGGATTTGGGTTCTTCTGATTTGATTTTTGGCTCTTGATGAACGAGAGATGATTTGTAAGCATGAAGGGGCTGTTTGGCTACAAGTAGGATCTGGTAATTTTTTAAAATTTAGCTTTAGTAAATCATGTGGGCATTAAATTCTGAATAATTGTTTATGTGTGTGAATTCTAGTAAACTTTTTAGCCGGTATTTTCAATATTTAGCATTTAAATGAAGGAGACTATGAGGCATAGTGAGGATAGGTGGTCTGAATCTGTAAAATCCTTTACTAAATCCGGGATTTAGTGTGAAACTGAAAAAAAAATGATTTAAAAAATGTGGTTAAAAGAACTGTTTGACAAGATTGACATAAATTCTGGCTAGATCTTGTTTTTTTTTTTTTTTTTGGAAAGTTCTGGCTAGATCTTTGCTTAATGTTGCCACCAAACAGTTCTCAGAGGTTTGAAATCTGTTAAATTGGGGAGCATTTATCTTTATCAGAAGAGAATTTCTCATTTTTTTATATTTTAATCCGCTTTATCAGCTGAGAATTTGTACAATTTGAACTAATATCCCTGATGATTATTTATTTTGTTTTTCGGTTCTGGAATTATGCTGCTTGTGACTAACTTTTATGCCCGCTTTTTTTTTTGGTGAATATCTTTCAGGAATTTGTCATTTATGCTCTTATGTTGCAACAATTAGAACTTTTTTTCAGCTTAGGGTTGTTTAATCCTTCTTTGGATATGTTTTTAGTTTCATATGAATCAATCCTTCTTTGCTTGTCATTGAATTTGTTGAATCTCTTAGAGGTTGTTAGGCTACAAGTAGGATTTAACTCTAATAAGATAATAAATCCTCTAAATCTAGATTTAGTAAATCGCATTGAACTATTGGACATATATTATAAAAATATGGGATTTAAATAAAGGGGAAGAAGAGGAACAATGAGAAGTAGTTCAAATCACTTAGATCACATTACCCAAGGATTTACTAAGTTCAAAATTTATCCTAAATCTTGCAACCAAATAACTTCTTAATGCTTGATTTTTTTAACTATTAGACAATTTTGTCACTTCCTTCAAAACTTCAAGTTTGCAATAGGTCTGAAATTTTTACTTTTTCGATAAAGTTGGTAGTTTTGGTATAAGCTTTTACATTTGTTGTGTCTTTCTAAGGTTTATTTATGTTTTGGAATTTAGCAAAATGTGGAATATGTTCTGATTGTTTTCTTTCTCGGAACAGCGATACATCGGTGGGTATTGGCCATGACGCCTTCAATACCTTCTTCAGTGAGACGGGTTCTGGAAAGCATGTCCCAAGAGCAGTATTTGTTGATCTTGAGCCTACTGTCATTGATGAAGTGAGGACTGGTGCATACAGGCAACTCTTCCACCCAGAGCAGCTCATCTCTGGCAAGGAAGATGCTGCCAATAACTTCGCTCGTGGGCATTACACCGGTATTCATCAATTACCTTATTTTCCTTAAACAAATGAAATCTTTGGCTGATGGATGAAATAAAGTTGATTTTTTTGCAAATGAATGCAGTTGGGAAGGAAATTGTGGACTTATGCCTTGATCGAGTTAGAAAATTAGCAGACAATTGCACCGGGTTGCAAGGTTTTCTTGTTTTCAATGCGGTTGGCGGCGGCACGGGATCTGGATTGGGTTCTTTGTTGTTGGAGAGGTTGTCAGTGGATTATGGAAAGAAATCAAAGCTTGGGTTTACTATCTATCCTTCTCCTCAGGTATCAAATACTAGTTCAGGCTTCCCTGAAACTCCTTAATCTTGGATTATTGGGCTGTCCATTATATGTGATGGAGAAGTTTGGTGAATGGTCTATACTAGAATATTTCTTATTTTACAAAGGCCTGCTGAATGGAATGACTCTATGATGGTTCAAATTCAACTTGTTAGTATAACCGATTCGTCGACAACAACAACAATAAGTCTATATCTCACTGTATGTGTTCAGTTGCATGAATCTTTTTTCTTCATTTTGTCATATTAGGAGTCAAATTCTCATTTAAATCAAATTAAAAAAAGTCATTTTTAATACTCTCTAATAAAGTCTTTTTAAGTTTACATTTACCTTTCTTAACACAGTCCTTACCTAATACATCTACTTGTTAGAGGGCATCAAAAGGCCGATGTTTTATATGACCAAATCATCTAAAGACGATTCTCTCTAATCTTAGCTGCCACTGCTTATCACTTAATAGAAATTTCTCCACATTTTGAAATAGATCACTTTTTTTATTTGCCACTGCTTATGGCTTCAATGTAACTTATTGCTTTAGGCTTCGTTTGGGACGACTTTTTTACTGCTTCTTAAAACGGCTTTCTAGTATAAAAAATTTAATTTTTTTAACCAAAAAGCTGCAATAAGAAGCAATAAAAAAAGTCATCCCAAACAAAACCTTAATAATTCACATTTACTTTTTTGCAAAGGCTGCTCCCCTTGACGCTTTTTTAGTACGTGCTGCAACCTTCTTTCCTGAACTCAGGATAAGTTTGTCCATATGAGCAAGTAATAACTGTTTTAATAAGTGTGATGTTTACATAATCTAGCACATGAAGTGCCCATGTGCATGGCCTTATCTGTGGGCCTGCCCAACTGTATCCATGTGCCTGACTCTACCTATGATGAAGTTTCTCACAAGGTTGGTGGGCCATGGCAGAGTTTAGTGGACTGGCAGGGGCTTACTGCTAGCTGGTGATGCCCTTTTATGCTTGTGTCAGCATATCATGTTCTCTTCTTTGCTGGCCTTTGTTTACATGTTAATCTTGGCTGTGGTCACCAGCTTGGTTAGGGCATCTCCAACCGAAAATCCCATTTTTCACTCCAAAATACAGTGAAACTCAAAAATGTCGTGATTCATCTCCAATCAAACTCTATTTTACGCGCTTCTGCGAAGGTAACCGTCTTTCTCCTCTTTTGCGCGTTTCTTCAGCAAATCCGGTTGAGGCAAACAAATTGTGTATGTGAACAGTGCAACGCCAATATTGGCGTCACACTGTTCACCTGCAAGCAAATAGCTGAAGATTCGGCGTTCAGCTGGAGCGACCGAACGACGTCATACACATGTTTGGCGTTCGATTGGAGATGCCCTTAGTTGGTAAAATCTTGAAATCGCTGTAAAGAATGAATTCAAAGTCCTGAGATCAGATCTTATCTAAATTAAATTTGTGGTTCAACGCTCAATTAAAAAAGAAAAGTAAAGAAAAACCTAAATATTTATATTGTCTTTACAAATTTGCAGGTTTCTACAGCAGTTGTGGAACCATACAATAGCGTCCTATCCACACACTCCTTGCTGGAACACACTGATGTTGCTATCCTTTTGGACAATGAAGCCATCTATGATATTTGCAGGCGATCACTAGATATCGAAAGGCCTACTTACACCAATCTTAACCGTTTGATCTCTCAGATAATTTCATCATTGACCACTTCACTTAGGTTTGATGGAGCTATCAATGTCGATATCACTGAGTTCCAGACCAATCTTGTTCCTTATCCCCGAATCCATTTCATGCTTTCTTCATATGCACCTGTCATCTCAGCTGAGAAGGCCTACCATGAGCAGCTCTCAGTTCCAGAGATCACCAATGCAGTTTTTGAGCCTTCAAGCATGATGGCTAAGTGTGACCCAAGGCATGGAAAATACATGGCTTGCTGCCTCATGTACCGCGGAGATGTCGTGCCGAAGGATGTCAATGCTGCCGTCGCAACGATCAAAACAAAGAGGACAGTTCAATTTGTTGATTGGTATGATTCAGCTGCAACTTATCATCTTTCTCACATTCAGGCTTCGTTTGCAATGGCTTTTTTACTGCTTCTTAAAGTAATTTTTTGATACTAAAAAACTGTTTTAAGAAGTAGAAAGAAAGCCGTCCCAAACGAAGCCTCAATCTTCCAGTAGAACCTGAATGTTTTTATAATCTTTTATTCACAGGTGCCCAACTGGCTTTAAGTGTGGAATAAACTACCAGCCTCCTTCTGTAGTACCTGGAGGTGATCTTGCAAGGGTGCAACGAGCTGTTTGTATGATCAGTAACAACACAGCTGTGGCTGAGGTGTTTTCTCGCATCGACCACAAGTTCGATCTCATGTATGCAAAGCGCGCATTTGTGCACTGGTATGTTGGAGAAGGAATGGAGGAAGGCGAGTTCTCCGAGGCCAGGGAGGACCTCGCCGCCCTCGAGAAAGATTACGAGGAAGTTGGAGCTGAGGGTGCTGATGATGTTGTGGATGGAGAAGAAGACTACTGAGCTACTCAGCACTGAGTCTACTTCGGGTGTGCTTATTGTCTGTCTTACTGTTGATTGTATTGTGCTGTAATATGTGCATCATACTATCAGTTTTTATTTCATACATTTGTAATGTTCCTTTTCATGTACTCTAATCCTGGATTGGATTTTTGAAATTTTATTTGGTTAATTGAAATATTAAGTCATTTTCAGGTCCAACCTTCAATCTCTGTAGGCAAAAGCAGCTACCTTCTTTACCTGTAGATTATGTGTGTAGTCCAGACGGAGAGAATCATCCGTATTTATTGTGAATATTTACTGCGTATTTGTAAATACTCATGTATGAGTATTACTAATTATTTTGTGAGTATTTACTGAGCATTTTGAGTATTTATAAATATTCAGCAAATACACAAGAATCCGAATGGTTCTTCCCATTCGGACTCCGCACAGAATAATTTCTCGTTGTTGAGGCCTTTGAAATAAAGAGCGGTTCAATTAATGCCTACTACTATTCGTAATAATGGTCCCTTTGACATCATTGGTGCATCAGTGTCATTCATCATTTGTGTGCTACTTTTCTTTTTTTATCGCCCTATCTTCCTATCTATAGAAGAGTGATCAAGTCAATCATTCATCATCACCCAATTTTTCATGTTCTCCATTGACCATTATCTAAAGTTTGTCAATAATAGATGTCGAACATCCATATGCAAAATATTATATATAAGTTATAAATTATATATTTAAAACATTTTGAACTTGTGATATTAAAAATACATGCATGGCATGCAATAGATAGATTATTTTTAATGTTTTTTATGAATTAGAGTATAAGTACCCTTCGTCTCTGTCAAGCTTATTAGGGTATTAGCTATAATTTCTCTTAAATATAGTTTTAATTTCTTCTGAAGTTCTCATATTTCTAACCATCATATATTTATGTATGACAATTACGTCACTAATTCGACTTCTTGAATCTTTAGAATGCAACAATCTATTAAAAATTCATAACCATGCATTGTAATTAGGAAAATTGTAATTAGGAAATGCAGGCATCAAAAGAACAGGAACAATTATTACATCCTCCGGCCGGACGTAGAGGAACGTCCGGTCGGAGGCAAAATCGCGCAAAAAAATGAGAAATATCGAGCAATATCAAACAATAACGAGGAATACCATCATGTGAAGACCCAATACCGAGTTATACCGAGCTATACCGAGCAATACCGAGTTTTTCCTAGAAAAAACTCGGTACAACTCGGTATTGCTCGGTATAACTCGATATTGGTTTTCACATAGCGGTATTCCTTGTTATTTTCAAATAATACCCAGCAATACCGAGTTTTTTGGCGGGATTTTACCTTCGACCGGACGTTCCTCTATTTACGTTCACCGGACCTAATAATTGTTCAAAGAACAGAGAAGAAGACCCAATGAAATTGCATTTAGTTGGCTTAGATCAGCTCTATTTCCGTTGCCAAATATGATTTTTATGCGGTAGTTGTAACAAATAAATTTTTGGCAATGTACCACCATTTTAGTTGGTATTATTTGCCTTGATGAACATTGAAGGTTTAACCATAGTGTTAGTTATATAATAACCGGACCAAACCGGTCCGTGTCCTTCTGCACGTGGGATCCAACCGGAGCGTCTGCCCCATCTGGCATGTGTCAAACCGAGCGAGCCAAACCTTTCGCAAGCAAGCAAACCGCACAAGCAGACCTTTAGATCCTCTCTCTCTCGCACATGTCTCTCTCTCTCATAAAGTAAATCACGCAATTCTTCCCATCTTGTTCAAATTTTTCCGCTCCCAACCTTTCCTCTCGTTATTTAAATCAAATAGGAAGCTAGAACATCACTTATTCTTCTCTTTTCTCCCTCGTAGCAACCGAAGAAAAACCTCCCTCCTCTCTCCTTTCTTGCAACATCCACCTACAACAAGTCCTTCCTTCAAATGTGAGTTCAAGATTTCTCTTTTTTCCTTTCTTCTTTCCTTCTCTTTCTTTATTGCCAACTTATAAAGTAGATGTCCTCTTCTGTATTGTTTTTGCTGGATTTGATTTGGTGTTGCCTTGATTCGTTGCTATAATGGATTTCAATATTTTTTTTTATGATGGATTTTAATTTGTTTTTAAAGGATACCTTATTTTAGGTTTGGTGTTCAATTTGATCAAATCCTAGGTTATTGATATATTTTTAGATCATATTATTTCATAATTAATTTTGGTGTTCATGGTGGGGTCGAGATTGATTGAATAGTCTTTTTTTATGGCTCGATGATTGTGCTTAATGTCATTTTGGTTTTGCAATTTGTAGGATTGTCGTTTGGTGGAGTCCGCTTTCGAGGTTGGAGTTTGTGGTAACTGCTGTGAGTAACTGTTATTTATTTTTAGGATAAATGTGCATATTTTAATTAGGGGCGTTATTCTTGATTCTTATGTTAGATCTTTTGTTATTAAATGACCAGTTCTGTCATTGTAGATTTATGTTCTTTACACATATGCTCAAAATGAATTATGAAGATTTGTAAATAGCCATTTTCGATTTATTGTTGCATAAATTCATGTACATCAATTTGTTTCTTTTGTATTTTCATACACATGCTTTATTGAATACAATGGATGATCATGTTGGCAAATCATATCTTAATATGAAATAATATTGATCATATTGGAAATATAAAACCTATTGAAAAGTGCTTATGAATTTTTGGAAAAATTATATAATTTTTTTCATTAGGTCTAGGTCAATAGAACCCTATTGGTCATTAGCTAGCCGTGCGGCCCCAAGAGTGACGAATCTATATGAAATCACTGGATTTTCTTGGGTTAATGTTTACCTTCCCGATGATAGGTATTTGATATACTGACCTATTGTTATATACATATAAATGTTTAATTATATAATTGGATTTGAATTTAAACAAAGATATGACTTACAGGTCATTGTGAGGCACAATGATATCTAGTGTCATGCATTTGTAAACATTGAAGTGATTTGACATCAATAGCTAATTCGCGCATATATATATTAGAATGTGTTGTAGAAAATATGGCATGCCTCATGGCTATTTTTGATATAGTGATTATAGATTACTACTTTATTTTGGTTGTTCATATTGCATGCTACATTTCTTTGTCATTTATGCTTTGATAAATAGGATTTACTAACTACATTTGATTTATTAAACTCACACGTTACCCTTTTCAATAGGTCCTGCAGGCTTGTTTAGTGGACCACAATCTCTAGAGCAAGATTACCAATAATAAACTATTTTTTTATATTTATTATTGTATAGTTGTTTATTATACTTTTGTTATGAGGGTTGGGTAATTTCTTTTATGTTTTTTTTTTTTTTTTCCTATTTATATTTCTATTGGATTGTAACAAAACTTGTTATTTGGATGTACTTGTTATTTAAAATTCTATTAATGAATTGGCTCTTTATTTTGCTTCTTCTGTTTACTATGGTGCATATATATTCTTTTGTATGTATGTGTATGCATGCTTCTTTTTTTGAATACAAAATAAGTCTTTTTATCTATTGATCGCATCCTTCGTCGTTGATCAGTACCACCTTTCAGACCTAGGGTGTGACATTAACTGTGGTTGGTTGTTTTTTGCAAGGTAAGTAGGGCTGTCAAAAAAAAAAAATCTCATTGTTGATAAATAGCTCATGTCTAGCTCAATAGAAAGCTCATGTTCAACTCATTCATTACGTAAACAAGCCCAACAACAAATATTTTGAGCTCAAATTTTAAACGAAACGTATACTAACAAAGGCTCTACTCGATCATGTTGGGCTCCCATTTGTTTGTTTCAGCGAGTTTGACCTACATTAACTTTGCTAAAATATGTTGCATGTAGTAGACTAGTAAGGTTGAAAAGCTTGGCATTCGGTCCAACGTCGGCAAGCAATTAAAATCTTACATGAGATCCTGGTTGGATAACCATTAAGTACCTATGCTTTATTCGGACAAGCTTCGCCCACCCTTTCAGGATTTGGTTGCTGATGGGATATCTATAGAGAAAGCAAACTAAAACAAGTTTTGTAGGAATCCCATTTTTCACTATAATTGAAATACTTCATCTCTCTCAATAAAATTAATTGAAGTACAAAATAGGAACGTAAAAATCCTAACAAAGAACGTAATTAGGAACGTAAGCTTTATAATTATGGGACTTATACTTTTCAGTTTCTCAAGAACATATCAAATATGCCAAAACTGCAACAGGAACTTGAGTTCACTCACATCCCTGCTATCTAACCCAAACAACAGTAATACCGAATACAACATAAATAAACATTGCAAAAATCTCGAATCCACCACAAAAAAAAAATTGAAACAAAAAAAAAAGGAAAGAAAGAACTCCCCTTCGCAATAAGGATGCAAAGGAAACAAAGGTGATATTTCCAATCACCGCTATTATGCACATCGTACAACACAAGCCCAACCAGAGACTCTCATGCTTTTGCTCTCTAATGAGCAGAATAAAGCTGCTGATTGCACCTGCAATCCATGCAAAAGAAATTGGTGATAAAAAGATTGGGGCAACTCAATGATATACGATGCAACCGAACACTTGGACGAAGAGAATGCCGGTGAGAATAATACTACGTTGAGAGGACGGATTGCAGCGCGAGCTGCTGCTGTGGGTGTAAAGCGGACCAAGTCGAAGCAAGCACTGCAGGTGGCAGAGTTTGCTGGAGCTGTCGTAATAGATTAACCATCCTGCTCGCCGTCTGCTCTGTGGCTAAATCATTTCCGGCACATAAAACCTGCACCACCCACCAGAATATGTTATGCTTCAATCTCTCAAGCACCCAAAAGATGTGAAAATTGTTAGGTGCGGCGTCCAGATTCGTCCGGAGGCAAATCCGGGCGTGCCACTTCACCCGGGGCCCAGTGCATCTGGATGGTCCGGACACTGCACGTAATAATCTCAAAAGATGGGAAAATTATTAGGTGCTGCATCTGGATTCGTCCGGACGCACCACATCACCCGGGCCCCATGCATCCGGGTGATGTGGCGCATTCGGATTAGCCTCTGGACGGTTCAAACACTGCACGTAATAATATCAAAAGATGGGAAAATTATTAGGTGCGACGTCCGGATTCATCCGGAGCTGGGGCCCAGTGCATCTCGGTGACGTGGCGCGTCCGGATTCGCCACCTGACGGTCCGGACACCGCACATAATAATCTCAAAAGATTGGGAAAATTATTAGGTGCGGCGTCCAGATTCATCCGGAGGGAATCCGGACACGCCACATCACCTGGGGCCCAGTGCATCCGGGTGACGTGGCACATTCGCCTCCGGACGGTCGGACACCGCAAGTAATAATCTCTCCAAAAGATGTGAGCAAAGTGAGAAGTATGCATATTTAAACTAGATTATTAATTGTATAAAAATATTTATAAGTACCTCGGCAAATACAGAAACAATTTTGGGCAAATATTGATTGTTGGGGCCCAAAAGTTCTCCATCCGACCTAGCAAAAAAGACGATATGGTAAATTTAATATATATTTCGATCAATAATGTGAAAATTTTCCTCATATACCTTTCCACCATCAAACAAAGCTGCTCATGGACTAGCTTAGCCTCAATAAGATCGCCTTTTATCGGCAAACAGCTTAACCAAGAAGGAACAACCTGACAAGCACAGGTTTTCATAGGGATGACAAACCAAAAATGTGATTAAATTTTAAAGCAGACCAAAGAATACATGCAAGTTGTTATACAGAATAGCTTTTATAAAGAGGAATGCAAACATAGAGACATGAACAGCATAATCTTATTGATCTATGATATTTCTGAATTTGTACAATAAGAGACAAATGATTTATTGATTCTGGTCAAAAGTAACACAGATATTGCATGGGCAACATGAAAAACCACCTTTTTCCCCAAAGGTTGTGTCAGACCAAGGGGTGCAAATGAGTCGAGTCGAGTCGAGTTTAGGCCCTTATCGAGCTTGGCTCGTTAGTTGGAAAGCAATGTCGAACTCGAGCTCGTCTCACTGTAAACGAGCTCGAGTCGGCTCGCGTGCCAGCTAACAAGCCATGGGCGGGAATTTTTAAATTTAGGCGGGATTTTTTAAAAATTATGATGAATTTTTAAAACTTAAACGGGATTTTTAAAACTTAGTCAAAAATTAGGAAAAAAAATGAAATATTTAACATCTAAATAAAACTTAGGTGATTTTAATTAATTTTTTAATATTTAAATTTAATAAATAAAATAAAATTATTTTAAAAATATTAATATTTATTCGAGCCGGCTCAAGCTCAAACTCGAGCCCGTTTACTAATCGAGCTCAAGCTCGACTCGTGAGCTCGATAAGCTCGGCTCACGAGCCCATAAAAGATAACCAACAAAGTAAGTCAAATACTCTTCGTATCAACCAGAAAAGGGACGAATGGACATGAGGCTAAACACTCAAAAGTTTCAAGAGGTTTATAGAAAGAAACAAAACTAAAAACTAGAGCATAACAGAAAAGTTCTTTATTTAGTTACATTAATTGCAACAACAAAAAAACTATAATTTCCTATGTATAACAAATAGACTTGGCATACCACAGATTCACCTAAGATGGAAATCAAAATGGACAAATGTTAACATAAGAAACTTTTTTGAAGTCAACTTCTCCTGCTAACGGATTTCCATTCTTTAATAATCACTATCATGCAGGCTGTGGTGTTTGTTTCAAAAATGTCGCCTATTTGAATATATATATATACAAAGAACATTCAATTACCTGAGCGGCATCAATGCTATTACGATGAAATTGACATATTTTTCCAAGAGCCGAAACAGCATTGTCATACGCCATTACATTGTCTGAATGCTGAGCATTTGGGTGTCTTATTACATTATTTAGCCGGGAGAGCGCTTCTGCAAAGCAGCAACCAGTACATTAAAATAAAAAACAAATTACTAAAAATATTATGAAGTAAAATGTTGCGCAGTCACTGTATGTACCTCCAACAAGCGGTCTAAAAACAGAACCACCAAACTCAGCACAAACACCAATACCATAAACTGCAGCCTGTTAGCAAAACTTCTTTCAAGCATGTAAAAAAATAATAACAGCAGTGGGGAAATATGATGGAATAAGAATAAGAAAAAAGAGCAGTTCAAAAACTAGCCTGTCTAACATCTGAACTTTCATCGTTGCATGCTTCCAATAAGAATGGCACGTAGGTATCATAGTATCTGTTTACCGGATTAATAAAGATAACATAAGGAACAAATAAATACAAATTTTACAAAGTCGAACCATAACATCAAGAGGAAAATCCTTACTTAAGGGCTGTTTCTTGGCATTGTTCAGCAACATCATCAAAAATACAAATGGCAATTCTTCTTTCCTCGGGTGTTTTATCTTTGCCCTAAACAAGATGGGTACGAAAAAAAGATAAAATGAGCAAATTCAGTTATAATTTTGCTTAATGCTAAAACAATTCAGAGTTTTAAATCCACATATTTAATATCCAAGGCAAATGACATCGGATTTTTCTAAAAACCAACGAGTGCAATTTGTTAACCCTATAGTAGGTTGAGTAAGTGGCAAAACTGAAGCATATTCTCATTGTACTTTCTTTATGCCATAAATATTGAATCACAATACAAATTGTTGAGAATCCAGCACTGATAGTATATAAGCATTTGTTACAATAGGTGATGAGGACATCGTCAGAGATCTTGACACATGTACCATCAAGAGACGCCAAAGATCGACGGCCACGTTCATGAGTTTTATTTTGAGTCATTTTATGTAGTAGTTTATTTTATTTTTATGTTTTTCCGTTTTTACCCTTATGGGTAGTTAGTTGCTATTGTAGCCCAAGGGCATTTTAGTCTTTTGTTTTCCTTGTCATTTGGATGCCTATATATAGGGTCATTTTCCTATGTATGAGGAGTTTTTTTGGATGAAATGAAAATTTAGCTCTTGTTCTCTTTGTGAGTTCATTTCCCCACGATCTCTTAGTGAGTTCGCCGGAGAAAATTAGATCTCTTAGTGAGTTCTAGTTTTCGAATTATCTCATCTTGTGGAAAATCAACGTGGAGACAAGCGAGGTTAGTAAATTCGTAGCCGTCGAAGCCTTGAAATCTCCATCTCTTCCTTTTCCCCTTGCTCTTGCCGCCGCCCACGCCAAGCAACTCAAGCTGCCGGCTACCCTGCCTCCATCTTCCGCCGGCCAGCTCAGCCGCCGCCGGCCACCCTCCCGCCGGCCAGCCCAGCAGCCCCCTTCCCGCGCCGCCTTCCCCATTTTGAATCCATAGCATTTGAATTTCAAACCCTTGATTAAACACTTTCCTAATTGGTTCCCCTTCATTATGTAAGCCCATTAATGAAATTAAAGCCAAATTCGAATTTCAAATTTGGTTTCCCTCTCATTATAAGGCTTGGGAAGTTACT